TCACATACCCAAGTCTTCCAGCTTATGCAGGTCGAGAAGAATTTCTGCTCCAAAGATCCCATTTGTCTACTGAAGCCTTAAGCTGGCCATACCCCATATTTCCTACAAATGAAATTCTAACAGCGATTGTGGTTTCCATTCAAGACACTCCACCAAAATCAAACAGAATTTAGAACGCCATTCTAGAAGTCTCTGATGGCATGATCGAATGTTCTGAGGAGGTTTTCAACAGCGCCATGTCAGGTGATTTCATAGGAGCGATTCCTCACTGCCACAAATCTCTAATGCTGGTGAACAATAACTGGAGGGCCAGAGTTTGCCTACCCTTGCTCTGCATTCATGTCTATGGCTTAGCTGCAACTGCCTGAAGGAGAGCTTTGCAGGAGAGCACCGAAACCTAACAGTGTGGCATTAGCCTAACCGGCAGGCACCACAAATCACCTCTCGGCGACAAGCAATTTGTAGCAGTGAGGAATCGCTGATACAAAATTACCCGTCTGACACGGCCCTTACCCTTCAATAGACAAATGGCATCCTTGGAGCCTCTGCGGATATTATTTTCAAATGAACGGGGCCGCCTTAACGCCATGCACATGAAGGAGTGACGTAACGTGCATGCATTACTGCAGAAGTGCGAATCCAGCCCTGTTGTGGGCAACTCCGACCCTCCAGCTGCTGTGGAACTACAAGTCCCACGAGGCATTGCAAGACGGACAGTTTACCGGCAAGACGGGATTTGTAGTTAAAGCACGGCTGGAGGGCCTGCTCTAGACTAAGGGTGGGCAACCTTGGCCCTCCAGCTGTGCGGAAACTACAAGTCCCATAATGCCTCCGCCTCTGGGAGTCATGCCTGTGGCTGTCAGAGTCTTGCAACGCCTCATGGGATGTGTAGTTCCACAACAGCAGGAATACCCCTGTTCTAGTGAAAGCATAAGATCTGCGCTCAGTCTCTCCTGGGCTGACTTTATTGAATGGGCTGAGTTAGCGGGACACTTGTTAACGTGTGAACCCTAACGCATTGCGAACAGTAACGCAGCGCAAACATGTGAAATGGCCCACAGCAAGAAATAAAGGATGGCTGCAAATCAATGGCCGCTGTGACATGGGCCCTAAGGGGCCCCCCAGCAGGCTGGGCAGGGTTCACTCACCGAGGTGCAGGGTCAGGTTGATGGAGTGCGGGTACTGGATCCCTGACAACATGCTCTTGCTCTGCCACCAGGTGGAGTCAGCCTGGTTGTTGTAGTCGGTCAGGAAGTCGGCTCCGTGCTCCAGGTGGGGCTGGCTGCTGTCACACAGGTGGCACGACTTGGTGACCCCGGTAACTCCGGTCTGCACGCAGTACTCCTCCGGCGGGGAGCCGCACGTATTGGTGGCCACGACAGTCGCGTTGAAAGCCGCATTGACAAACTCCGGCATGCAGCGCTGCGGCCGTCCGCCCTCCGAGCACTCGTCCATCGCCGCCCGGGCTGCGTCCAGCAGCAGCAACAGGGCGATCAGCACGGGAGGCCGCATCCTCCGCTCCATGGTGCAGGGGGAAGAGATCGGGGTGATCGGTCTGTAGTGGGTGGATGGGGGGGTCACTCTTGCAAGGGGCCGGGTGAGAAGACTGGTGCCAATGTGTCCCCCGGGGAGCCGGCTCTCATAGGGCTCCGGGCTGCAGCTCTGCGACTCTCCTCTAAGTTGTAGGAAAGTTTCTGCTCCGGTGAAGTTGAGATCGGAGGAGTCCTGTGCCCGGCGCTGCTGGGATCCAATACACAGCGGCTGCAGGCAGGGAAGGGGGGATGGATATGACGCCTGGGGTTCCCTGGACCTGGCTCTGGGTGGGGGGCTACAGAGTGCTGCGTTCTTCTCTATGGGGCAGGATAGAGGGGCCGGCCGAGGACACGGGGTGGGGATTATGGAAGCGCAAAGCAATCTGGGAAGGGCAGTGGGATCCCAGGAACGGGGAGCAACTTCGGCTTTTTCCGTCAGTCTTCGCCGGGGCAGGATGTCCCACCACAGGGCTGAGCTCTATTACCAGTGCACAATGTCCCTCATTAAAGTCTGACTGACGCCAACATGGGTTTTTTTCCCCCCGTTTGGTATAGGAGAGCGATTAGAACCCCTGTCTGGTTTTTATTGCTAAGAGAACCAATGGCTGGCACACCTAAAGTTACAGAACTTGTAAATTACAAAAGCATGAGTGGGCAACCCCAACAATCCAGCTGTTTGTGGAACTACAACTCCCATGAGGCTTTGCAAGTCTCTGCCAGCTAGAGGCATAATGGGATTTGTAGTATCACCACAGCTGGAGGACCTGAGATTGTCAACAGCTGTGCACAGCTGCTGTGTAAACCAGAGCTGGAGCTAGCTCCTTTTGCGCCCGAGGCAAGAACAGAAAATTGTGCCCCCCAACAGACATGTTATGTCACCCTATGCCACGCACGCACGGCGTCATGTGACATCATGCGCCCTGCCTCCAGGATGGTGGCACCAAAATAGCATAAACATTTGTTTCGTTTGACGAAACTAATGAAAAATTTTTAGTTTCCGTTCATTTAGTCTTTGCACATGTCTAATAATATAATAATATGTGTGCGTGTGTGTGTGTGTGGGGGGGTTCTGTGGGCTTTGGGGAAATATTGGGGGTCTCCGACATTTCCCTTTTGAAATAGATAAAGAGATTGAGGACACAGAGTCATCTGCCCATGCAGCGGGGATGCGAGGAGAAGCTGTGTTGGCCGTCTGGCGCCCCTGTTGCCAATGGCGCCCTGTGCTCGCCATGGCAACAGGGGCGAGGGGGCGCAACCAGGCTGGCCCTGGCTACGCCCCCTCTCAGCTGCGCCTGAGGCGAGTGCCTCACTCGCCCCATGGTAGCTACGGCCCTGGTGTAAACCAATAGACTTCTTAAAACACAGTTGTTAATGATTTGGATTAGGGATGCACCGATACTGTTTTTGTCAGTATCGAGTACGAGTACCGATATTTATATTTCGGTACTTGCTGATATATTTTGGTACTTCTGGTAGCATGGAGCCAGCTTCCCGGGCAATCAGGAAGCCGGCCAGCATGTCATTACCCACTTCCCAGCTTCTTGATTGCCTGGGAAGCTGGCTCGATGTTGTTTGGCATGCTCAATGCTGACTGGCCGGGAAGCCGGCTTCCCAGCGAATCAGCATGGAGCCGGCTTCCCGACCAATCAGGTAGCCGAGATGCCGGCCATTACCTTCGGCCCGACTTCCTGATTGGCCGGGAAGGAGACTCCATGCTGTTTGGCCGGCTCCATGTTCATTGGCCAAAAAGCCGGCTTCCCGGCCAAGCAGCATCGAGGCAACCAAGCAGCATGGAGTCGCCTTCCCGGCCAATCAGCATCTGGCGGACAAACCGCATGCAGTTGCCCTCCCGGACAGTCAAGAAGCCGGGCCGAAGGAAATGACCCGCATCATGCTTTTCTGATTGGCTGGAAAGCCAGCTCCATGTTCCCTCGCGGCACTGCTGGTCAGAGGAAATCTCCCTTTGACTGGAAGTTCTGGTATCGGGATAAGTATCGGAGCATTTGGGCAAGTACAAGTACTTGCCCAAATACTCGCTTTCGTCACTGATACTAGTATCTGTATTGGTGCATCCCTAATTTGGATTAATAATAATAACAACATTGTACAGAAACAAAAGGAAAAAAAAACCCAATTAAAATGTTCTGGAGACACTGTGGCCTCTTTCCCCGAGGTGTCTGTGTTTTTGTTTTTTCCTTTGTTTCTGCACAATGTAGTTATGGCAACTTAGACCTTAAAGTGACACTACACTCAGGAGTTAAATCTTAAAAATACATTCAGGTATCTTATCTATCAACAGAAATGTATCTTATTTGCGTTCTAGGGCGGGAGGGGGTGTTGTGGTGCATTTAAGTGCTTGTACTATATTTTGCGATCACACTGGACTAGAACACAGCAATTGCTGTGCCACGTGTTCTGGTGTGGGCGATTGCTCTGCGGGTGGGGGGCGTGGCTGCGGTGCCATTGACTTGAATGCACCACCACGTGCCCTCCCAACCCAGAACGCAGGGAGCCTCACAGTATGCGATTCAGTGCGTTCCAGAAGCTAATCGTGCTGGAACGCACTGGAGAATGTATGAATGGGCCCTCAGTCTTCCATCCCCACCTCCCCTCCATGCTGTTGTCTCTATCTCCTCCTGGCTCATTGGGAAAGCCACAAAAGAGATCTGCAGCAGCGGTTCAGCAACCAATCTTACCTGGTCCAGTTACTAAAGCACTGCTGCAGGTCTCATTTGTGTTATTCCTGATGAACCAAGGAAAGGAAGAGATGGAGACAGCAGCGTGGAGTACAGAGGACTGAACGGAGCTACAGGGAAAGGGGTAGTTGTTATCCCTACTCATTCATCAATTAAGCAGTAACATTGTAAATAAACACACAACACAGTATACAAAGCCCTTTATTTGAAAAAAATGATTTTGACAATTCCTTTATTTAAAAAAAAAAAGTGTCCATCGTTGTAATCCAAATGTTTCACATGTCATCCAGTGATGGAGATCTACGTGAATCACGATGGACGACGGTCACCAACTCGCCAAAAGAACAGATACCCGATGCCCGCCGACATGACCGATCCCAACGAACTCTAGCCACAAAATGACAGCTCTGACCCGAATGTCAACAAAGGGGCGGGGTGAGTCATGATGTCATATGGCTTGTCCCGCCCCTTTGTTGACATTGGGGAGCAGAACTGTCATAATAACAACTCAGGAGCATTTGAGGACTCCTGATGCACAAATGGTGACGCACAATTAAACTACATTTTTGTTAATAGTTAATTAGTTGTTAAAGGAGAACTATGGGGTCAGTGTTTTTCCCCATAGTTCTCCTTAGGGTAACGGGAGGACACAAATTAGTGTCCTCCCGTTACCCTAAGCTAGGTACTTGGATGCATTTTTAACATTTAGCTCACTTTCAATCCAAAACAGGAGAACATACAGTCTCCACCAGGACCCGAACCATAAAGACAGGGGTGCTAACTCGGAATGCCACCAAGTTTGCATACCATTCTGCTCCAAACTTTTATTGTATCAAACGAGAACAAAAAAAGACAAATTATTAAAGTGTGCCTATAGCTATATTCATACATTACAGGGGTAAAACCATTTCTAATGGGCTCTTGGTGGTGTGTTCTCTTGCATGCTTCCACTATGAAGAGACCATTGGGAATGTATTACTGTAGTTGGTACTTTAGGACACAATCATGACGCTGTGCAATGTGCTAAATCTGTATTTCTGCAGCTCCATCTGGGCTCCATCGACTCTACAATCTCCTTTTTATCATTATATTTCCTTATTTTATTAAAGTTAACATAGTACAATTTACTGTAACAAAGTACACTCTTGTTGTTTAAAGCTGTTTTTAAGACATCTTTCCTAATAACCCACTTGATAATTTATATCAGCAAGCATTGGTCCTTACGGTCAGAGTTTGACATTTATAAGCTGTGGCCCTATAAAGATATATGACAGCATACAAGAAGCACCTCGTTTTCATCCGTACAGCTTTGTGCTATCTTATTGGCCTGATGAAAAAAATGTGAATTTAGCTGATATCAAGTCATGCTTCTTGGTAGGTTCATAGTTGTACTCCCTGGTGGCCATCAACAGCTTCCAGGCATATGATAGAACTCCATTTCCAAGTCAGATAGATAATAAGGAAAAGACTTTCCAAGACTTGACTCTATTGAAAAATAAATGACTGTATATTTGAAAATGCTGTAATGACAGCAATGGTTCATAAGTGCGTGATGGTTTAAAGTATATTACTGCCTACCTTAATCATTTTGACTAAGAGACAAATGAAAAGCTCTAGATTGATTTTTAATTTGTCCCTTAATTAAAATGAACATTATTTCACAATCACACTACTTCAAGTTGTTTGTAATACCATTTATGGCCAGTAGGAACTACAGAAGCATGTAGCACAGGGGTGGGCAAAACTTCAGCCCTCCAGCTGTTGTGAAACTACAAATGCCATGGGGCTTTGCAAGATTCTCACACCCACAGGCATGACTCCCAGGGACAGATGTATGATGAGGTTTGAAGGGTCACCACAGCTGGTGGGCTGGAGTTTGCCCACTCCTGATGTAGTAATATGAATCCCACCCTCCACAGGATATCCACATCCATTCTTTTATGGCCAACAGGCCTACAATTATCTAAGTGATGAGCAGAGGTTACCACCAGGCACACTGTCCGTAAACACTGGTCTGCAGATCAGCAGGCAAAAAATACACAAAACTATATTGATGGCTTGCAGACCTTTGCAGACGTGGTGTGCCCTGTGATAATCTTTGTTTATCAGAGATAAATGAAGACTTGTAGGCAACCCCACTGATGTTTGCCAAAGTCAATGCAGGACAGTGCAGTCCTCAGATCTTTATACCCCTCTAAGGACATCCTCATAATGGACATCCTCCCTTCTTTAATGGAGGAGAACTCTGCAGGAATCCTGGTTCTGGTCTGTCTCTAAACAAAACAATATCAATTGGCTACTAAAATCCCATCTTGCTGATCAATTCACCCCTTGAGAAGGTTTAGGCAAGGGATTTCTCCTAAGGTTTAAACATGGGATGTCTCATGAGGTAGGATTTATAATAGTTCTCTTATCCAACTGTTCATTGCTGTTTGGGGTA